AGTGCACCTTTTGTGTCTGTGGCTTGTTAGCAAAATAACTCAAGTATTTGTAAAATGTTGATTATAATTCTTGGTGTGGTGCTTACTATTGTCGGGACCAAGGTTAAGTTCGTTACTGAGCTTCGTGGGGGGTTTCGTTGTGGCTACAGGGGGCATTTTGTTAATTTTTCTTGTGAGCAGGATATCTTTTGTATGTGTGGATGGAAGTTAATGAAATTTGATAGGCATATTACTGTCGTGGTCTCCAAGATTGAGTTCAAAGATGAGAGTCGTGGAGGTCGTTATGTCCCCGTAATAGGACCTTTTGTGTTTAGAAATCCCCCACCTACATCTGCTTGGAGACAGCCGACAGCTGGATATAGCCCGGGAACCCCATAATGGGTTGGGATCAAATGACGTTACATTGAGGGATTGTACTATAACTTCAGCAGGGGGAGGATAGGTTGGACATATGTCAGGTTATTTTCTACGGCCACACCAAGTAATTGCTATGGATGACGTCCACTGGAGACCTTAAATCTAATTACCTTAAATTTAAGGCAAGCGCGCAATAAAAACACGAAGGGCCGAAAAACGAGATGCCTAGATTTGGAATATACTAACTGTAGAAGTACAAATGTTAGGACACAAAGAACACAAGGAACAAGTCTTCTATTTGTCATAAAGACAAATTAACAAAACAGCAGTAGTCACCCTGTTCTGATTCTTTCCTTTATAACATCTTCTCTTATTATATTTTGCGGCGCTGTCGTGACACTTTCAACACAGTAAGAATTTCTTGAACGTTTTTTTTCCACTAAGGCCACACCAATTTAATTTGTTGGTTCTCGGATTGGCCTCTTCGTTTTTTTCTGATTTGCAAAAAAAAAAATTGATTCTGGTCCTGAATCAACTCAAAAATGCTCATGTTTTGCCCCCCAACAGTTGAGGAAAGTCCTTTTCTTCCAAGTTGTTACAGTTTTCCCATCTATCAATGCAGTGGTTTGATTAAAAGTTCAAAATTCAATGTTTAAATTCTAACCCAGCCTTTTGTGTTGACTTCATGGCTCATTTTGCAGCATTTAAGCCTATAATTAGGATGCCTAGACCTGTTTTTATTTTTTTCGCCCTGTCGCTTCATATTTTTTCTGAAAAAATCCGAGAACCAACAAATTAAATTGGTGTGGCCTAACAGTCCAAACTCAAATAACGTGGGGGGGGGGCTAACACGGGTGACGACGCATCTGTATAATCTGCGGCAAACCGTTTCAGGGTGTTCTGTACCATAAAAATAGTACAGAGATTCTTTTGTTCTTTAGACCAAATTGATTATTAAAAAGAGTGAAGAATACGCATGTTAATTTCTCTAGAACGATGTACCTCTGACGAAGACATGAGATCTCCGACCTCTAGTTTCTATTAGATTTTGTTTTGATCCAATATAATCTTTCAAGGGAAATCTGTGAAACAGACAATGTATTTGAGAAGTCCGTGAGAGAAAAGCGTGGGCTGCTCGGAGCCACGCGGCCATAAAAGGAAGAGTGGCAGAGATTGGCTGCTTGACCCCGTCCATTTCCTGATCACACGGAGGCCCTGCAGGGGCTGATGGGAACTCTTCCGCAATTTGTGTCAATCACCTGGGATTCCGAGCCTTATGCCTTATCACTTCTGCCTCACAGGCCAGGATCGTTTCAATCCTTGGCTCTTAAATGTTTTCATCTTTTCTATTAAAAAAGAGAGAACAGGGACCCCCAAGCAGGTGGTTTTAGGTTTGAAACACAATGCTGTTTGCAGTTAACTCAGTCATGAAAACATTTAGAAATCACCATTATTGCACATTAGAAGAGGTCCCCTTTATCATATATAATACTTATAGTGAAGATGGCTGAGTTTATGCATTAGCAGCTAATGTGCATGGCTTATGTGATACATGATAACAGTTTGTAGTTTCCACACAATAGCTATGGTTTTCGTCTGTTGGAACTGACTAACCATTGCTACTGCTGTGAAACAGCATCACCATGATGTTCTTTTGTTTTGCAATTCTTTATTTTTTTTGCAATTATTTTGTGTTTTTCATTGTTGATTTCTGACCTCCCCTATTGATTTTGAATTTACCTTAAGTTATTATTTTGTAATCTTCATAAAATACTGATTGTACAAGCTTTGTTATTTATGTTTCATTTTATTATGTCATGTTAACCCCAGGAAGAATAGTGCTTAAACTCTAATGGGGGTCGTAATAAATAAATAAATAAAAACAAACAAACAAATTCTTATGAGCCCCAAATCTTTCAAGTGCATGTACACATACATGTCATGTACATGTAACATTTAGCTGTACAATATATTTATCTACAAATGTTACAATTACATTAACTCTAAGATTTGGTGTTCTTCGTATACCTGTAGTATTGATTAGTTTTTTTTTAAATCTTTGTTCCCCTCTAAGCCATTTTCTTGTCTTTTTGACAAGCTCCTAGTTTTTCTGTCCTAGCAGTGATTGATCAGCTGGCATCCTATAGAGGAATACAGGTGCCAACATGGCGTAACTTGTGGACAGAATTAAATCAAAGTCTGCTGCCTACAGGGCAGACATTATTCCACGAGCTGCCAGCGACTGGCAACCAGCTAGTATCATTCTGAAGGTTCAAAGATCAGTTACAAGCATCAGAGCCTCTTATATATATATCACATATACATGACTTGTATATAATACATGGAACTGCAGTTTTGCATACTATCAATTATCGGTTAATGTAAAAACATGCACTGGTCGATATTTGCCAATACCTACATTTTAGATAGCAAGGCTTTATTTTCTGACTGACTGAATTTTAATGCTCCTGTTACAATATTGAACAAAGATGTAATCTCCAAGCAGATCTTACGGTGGCCAGGCAGTATCCATTGGCCAAGGAGTAACTATTAGCCACTTCAGTGGATTCTGCTTTTCTACCATAGGATCTGCTTGGAGATTACAAAATAATATACACTTGGTAGGTATGTAAAGATGGTAAATGTTACACAATCATGTATACAATTGAACTTTTGATTTTATCAATCTCTTATCCCTATGTAATTGGTGATATTACTAGAAAACTACATGTATATCATGAATGGAAGTCCTGCCCAGCATAATAAGATTTGGATGAAACCAACATACCATCCAGAATGGTTATAAATCAGTAGCTCCAGACTCTGACATCACAAGTCATGAACAGAAGGCAGACACAGGCTACATACATGTACGGCCTCCTCATCTGTCATAATGCAGGGCTGACAACCTCACCTGGCTCAAGCCAGGGTTTGGCAGGGGTTTCAGGCCTTGTGATCTTCTGTTGAAGATGATAGAATTTGGTGGGAAATATTACTCACCTGGATAGCTGAGAAGATTTAGTTATGATGCAAAGGTGTGATGTGTAGTTTATACTGTATTACAAGATTGGCTACATTTTGATTCTTTAGGAAGGATGGTCCAAGAAAGCTGAAACAAGGCTTCTAAAAGATTTTTTTTAAAGTTTGGAAGACTGAACTACACGTAGGTACTAATTAGGTTTAAAGAACGCGTACAGTCAGAAGTATAATGGCTAGGTGTAACAGGTAGTTCAGTGTTATATGCATTGTAGCCAGGTGCCGCCGTGCCTCATACATGTACCTGTGAAGCTGGTGTGCTACACCAAAGGGCAGTTATGAATATGCGGTACTAGGCACAACTTGTCTCTTTTTAACAACATAGAGAAATTCTGCTTGAGCCTTTTCCTCTGAAAATGAGAGCTTATGTGCAATGGTTGATAAGGCTTAAAAGACAATACAGATGACCTTAAAAAATGTTTTCAATTGATTTCACCCAGCAGTGCCAAGCTGATCGTAAGGTTAAACTTCCACAAGATGAAACAGTGACACATGTAACTGCCTATAATTGTATATTTCAACACCTGCCATACATGTACTACTAGGTAATTTGTGAAAATTTCAAACATACCGAAATGTTGACTTATTGATAAATGCTGTGTCATGCTCGCAACAAGCACAACATTAATCAATGACATGTTGACCACATTGAAAATTAGCAAATCTTTTCAAGACTCCCGAGTGCGACCGGATAGAATTGGGTCAGATCAATAAGATTAGGTAGGATTAATGAGGAGATGCAAATCCCCTCCCTTCTTGTGTCACATTACTGTTGTTGGATGTAACTGTTCATCCATCTGTGCTTGGTACATGTCGTTAACACCATTGTTACCAAGCTTTAGCTTGATGCAGTGTGCACATATCAAATACACACATAATACCGAATTTACCATCTGTGAGGGGTTTTGTATCTAAAGGATGTCCTAAGGGATTGTCTGACTGCGATTAGGATCGTTATGATGTCATTTTGTGATGTTGGCACATTGTATGTAAGAAGTTTATTTAATGAAGTGCTAATCTGGGGCAATGGATTCAATTGTAGATAACGTAATTTGAGACTTGTAGATTGTAATTATTGTAGATACTTAACTGTAGACACTTAATTGTAGATACATACCGATACATGTAATTTGAAAGTAAATTGTAGATACGTAATTGTAGATACGTAATTTGAAACATACAGTCATAACTTTGTCCAACTTTAGATAATCTCCAAGCAGATTTTTGGCAGCTGCAAATTTGCAAGACAGTACAATGCATATCAAATTGGCAAAAAAAAGAAGTGTCAAATTGGCAAGACATCAAAGATAGTACAGAAAATAAAGCCAAATAAAAACGCCTAAAAATACATAAAAAAGAAGCTTAATCTCTACTTGGAGAACACTTCAGATACATTTCACAAATGGGAACATCAGGCATATCAGGATCATGTGTTGGCAAAAAGATGAATTATGAAATTCAATGTTTGTTTTACTTGTTTTGTTTGTCTGAAGATATTAGTCATCAATGACTTTATTGTACAGTGTAGCATGTAGTTGATGTAGTGGAAAAGAATGTCAGTGAAAAGGTCGAGTTTTTATCTTGTATTGAATGTCGTCTGTCCACAGAGTCGACCATGCTGACGTTTGCTGACGGGCAGTACCTGACGGTGTCTCTGCTGGGGCCGGTGCAGACGGAAGCGGAGGACATCACCCTGCGGTTTCGCACGGCTTCGTCGTACGGACTTCTCCTGGCCGTGACCTACGAGGGGGGCTCGCAGGAAAACGTGCTGATGATGGAGATCGAGGCAGGGAGGCTGAAGCTCACCTTCAACCCTGGTGAGTTCAACGACCTATCATATCACTATGTCATCATGTAGGCTACTTCACGGTTTGAAGTGTGCATGCATGTGCCGTGTGATGCACAGTGTAGTAACTTTCCGAAATGGCAACATAACATCTTTGCCCATTTTCTGCATGTTAAAGGCATCCAATGTGATTTCAGAGCAGCAAAACTGGAAATATTGTGAATAAGGCAATCTTTATGATATTGACACTTACTGCTTCACAATACTACATTGTACATTTCAATCAGTATTTCATACTTTTGAGCATTTAAAACTGCAGAAGCAAGCCTAAAGATGAGTCCTTTGTTTTATGGGTGGTACTTTAAAAATCAGCCAAAGGCCCTTCCAATAACCGTTTTCCGCCAGAATTTTGGGTAGTTTTGCTCCATGAGAGTCAAAATGCATAAGGATAGTGTGGTTTTAACTAAGTATTTACTTGTAGATAAGACTATTGAAGAATATTGACTTTAAAAAATGGTATTTTTCAAGCCCTAAAAACTGCATTGGATGCCTTTAAACCAGTGTCAGAGGGCAACAAAATTTCTAGTTTTTTTTCCCCCAAAATCAGGCGAAAATCAATGCACGCACTGATGTCATTCCATAAAAATCACTTGCTGTGGCCTCATCATTAAAAGCAGGGATATGCCTTTCTGTCAGTGTGTCAAAAAACCTACAGTCGTATACACATCTGGAGCAATTACAAGTACTGCTGTATTGAGGTCAGCTGCACTGGTGCCAAATGGCAGCCACTTCTCACCACTTTACCTCCCTCCCATCAATTCTGCGCCCTCGCAATTCAGCCCCTGGCTGTAAGGAGACTTACCAGCCCCCAAAGCAATGTATCGTGATAAATGACTTTTCAATCAATAGCGCTGCAAAGTGATCATAAAATCGATAAAAAGAAGGACTAAATATGATTGATTTGCGAGTCGATGATCATGATATTATTAAATAGTAATACACCATTCAACAATTGTTCGATAATTGATTTTTACTTGAGGGATAAACAACGGAAAAAAAATATATCGCCAAATATAAAACTTTACGAAGTATTCAAGAATAAAATGTGTAAATCTTTTGTAACTCATGATGATTTCTATCTTCCCTTCCAGGCCCTGGTCCAGACTTCTTGTACGGTGGGGAGGGTCTGGATGACAACAACTGGCACACAGTGCAACTCAGGCGCCGCGGTCGCCAGCTTAATCTTCGGGTGGACGATTTAGATGTACCCGGTAATGCAAGTTTCCTTGTCTTCTGTCTGTGGAACTTACTCTTCCTCCCCCCCTCCAGGCTTTAGGTGGTGGACTATTCCTCTTGCTCCAGCGGACCCTCCGTAGAGCCTCCGTAGTACACTCTCTCACTGAAGAAAGTCCTCCTCCTGGGTGCCGGACCACTCTCCAGCCTACAGAGAAAACCTCTCCGTCTGCTATTCCTATTTCTCTCTCGATATGTAAAGAAAGAATTAGTTTAACTTCGTATTTAAGTCTTTACGTTACCTCTTATTGTCTAAAGTTCTGGACCCGCCTTGCCAAAAGGCAAGTTTTTTTACGGTTATGTACCTACGATTGTAAAGAAAAGAAAAATTTGTTGTAAAAATCGAGAATCATCTCACGATGGATCCCTGTATTGGTAGTTTCCTGATTAACGGTGTGCATTTTCTCTTTTTTAATGCTTACAGCTATATATCCTTTCCCATTGGGGTCAGGTTTGTTCGTAAACAGTTTCATGTGCTTCACTCCTATGTGTTGTAGAATACATACCTTATATATCGATATACCCCATAAGTTCATCATACTGTGCTTGCATGTGCTGTGTTACCCTTGTGCTGTGATGTGTCGTAAAATAACCAATTGCGCCTTATAGCTTCTTGCATGGTATCTACTACTAACCATTGTAGCCTTAGCGCATCTTCCGAAGGACATCATATAATTAATTAGCTAGTGGCACAAACACCATTGAGTAAGATACAGCACATTCCAGTTAATTGCAGTCTTTATTTCTCACTTTATGTTCATTCCAACTTCCAAGTATTTCAAGTAGATAGAGAAGAACTCATGTATCAGATTCGTAAAGAGGTCAAACATTTCATGTCCTACATTTGAAAAAAAAGGAAACAAAGAACAAAGAAACTGTCTGCTACAAATACAAGGTGCCTGATCACATCTAAAGCTGGCAACTGTGGGGAGGTCACAAGTTTGAAATGATCGTGACAATTTTGGCAAACAGTTTTGCAAATTTAGAAGAAAAAAAGACAACTGCCATAGGCATGGAGAATGGCCAATGCCATAACTAATCCAGAGAGTGCTTATCATCCTTGACAAGTGAGTATCATTTCAGAATTTATTTATCTACCTATGTTTGTTGTTTTCTTCTTACGACTATTATGCCTGAGAGCCTTCTTATCAGCAGAAGATGTATAATTGGTCCATAGATGTTAATATGAGCGTATACTCAAGTAAGCCCTTGTGACAACCACGTGACTGTATATTCTTTAGATAAGGTTAGAAAATGTCTAGTACGCAAGATACTGTCTGCTGGCATCAGAAATGATCCATTTTGGAGACATTTTGTCTGTTTTGTGTAATACTGATTGCAGTTTTATCCAGCTGCTGCAGTTGTTAACAGTTAAATTAGTCAAAAAAATACATTTTTTTCAGGAATAATTATACATTAGAAGATAAATGCTGATATGCAATGAATTAACAAAGAACACGAAGAAGGAAAAATGGCCTGGTTCAAAATTCAGTACAATTTCTTTTGTTTGTATTATTATTATTTTTGTGCAATTAACTGGAATGAATTGTATCTTGACAATGTCATACAAGTCAGCTATACTTGCTGCATCTGCAGTTGACAAAGTACAGATCAAATACTGCCGTGTCAAACCCCAAATTTTCTATTGGATAGAGAGCGGACAGAACCCATCCTGCTGCCCTGTAAATAACATCACAGCCGACCAATAGAAGGCATGCGTAGCCTCCTCATATATATATAGATCCCGTAGCGTATGAAAACCCCGGTGATGTAATGTTCAAGTGAAATCTTCCCCAGGAGTATGGTCCGGGTACGTAGTTCTGCTATAGATATAGCACGTTTTTTTACAAACGATGTACCCCACAAACTGCAAGAAATACCAACAACAAAAAAAGAAAAACACGAAAATGCTGACCCGGCGGTCATGACGTTGAAGATCTCAAAGCCGTTCTGGAAGACCACTTCCCTACCTGCAAGCTGTAGGGATCGATGCTGTAGATGACAGGTTGTTGGGAATGGTGCAAGATTTCTCCAGTTTCAGGTTTTCTCCCTCCACCAAGGGTATGCTTTCCTCAGCCTCCTTGGCTGGGGGTACCCTTGGTGGTGACAATGCCTTTTGTAATGCCTCCAGGTTTCTTTGGTGAAAGCTTCCAAATGTTACAAATCCCGGAACCTGGTGAGCTATGCCCCTGGACATCTAGCATATATACTGTTCATCATTCGAACTTGATAAGCATGGAAACCATGTTATATTATTATATACACCTACATCTGTGCTCGTGTTTGCCATAAAAAAAACCTGCCCATGACAGCTTCTGTTAGCATGCCGCATTTGAATGTGCAAGTGTCGTGTGTTGTGTGTGTGATACCCAGTGAGTTCTCTAGGTGGTGGAATGCCATGTGTATGCTGTGGTGTTGCTAACATTAGTATGTGGTGCTGTGTTGTGTTGTGGTGTTGTGTTACATATCATTGCTGGTGTTGTCCTGGTGCTGTGTCGTGCTGTGCTGTGTCGTCTTGTGTTGTAGCCTGTAACGTGTCGTGGTGTAACGTTGGTGTTGTCACGTGCCGTGTTGTCTGGTGTTGTGTTGTAAGTGGTGTAAACTTGTCTTGCCTAGATGTCAGTAAAATTGGTGGATGTTGTAGACCATACATGTAGTTGTGACCATTTGTCCATATTCTGTCCACAGTTCACTTGGTGTACATGTATTTTTCATTGTCTGGTGTGTATAATGCATTGTCATGGAAATCTTTGTACGTACTTGGAATATTGCTTCCCATGTCTACATCTTCTGTGTTGTGTCAGATATTTGGCGTTGTGACTAACAATTTGATGCGTTTTGCAAGTATACATGACTAAATTATTGCAGTGAACAGTCCAATGACAGGCACATTCCTTGGCTGAAGGGGGCAGCAATATTTGTGTTGCATGTACAAAGATGTACAACGACTTCCCTGCTAGATGATAAACTGGGGTTGTGGCCAGTTCACTTGGGAAGGAGGGCGTTCCAGAGGGTTGGAGAGTGAACTGCTCACAAACCCTTCAGTCAAAAAAGATGGAAATTTTTATAGGAACTTTGAACCATTTGACAACAAGTACACAAGCTGCCAAATTGAATCTTTCATGCACATTGATTGAAAGGATCATCATCAATTGACTAAGAATCTAGCAGGGATGATGTCTGGGTGAGGAGAGTCCTCCAATCTCCACCGTGCTAACTTTGCCCTGTCCTGACATCCCCGTCTTTAGGTACTGTCTCCAAGTCGAGCGCTGTCCTGGACTTCAACTCCATAGCCATTGGCAGTCTCCAGAAGGCCAAACCCGACGGCACCTCGCCGCCCAGCTTTGAGGGCCAGATGCAGAACTTTGTGTTCAACGGGAACCCCTTCATCGAGATGGCCATGTCGGGAGGGGTGGACATGATCCAAACCAACGCCCAGTTCGGCAAGGGCACCAAGGTCATAGGCAACCCCATCACCTTCCGAGATCAGGCCAGCTACGTCAAGCTCCAGACTCTCGAAGCCTACTCCAGCATGAACCTGGTCTTCAAGTTCAAGACGACTCAGCCCGATGGGCTCATTATGTACAACGGCGGGGATGGAAATGACTTCTTAGCCCTGGAATTGGTGAAGGGGTACTTACAGTACGCGTTCAATCTGGGCGATGGGGCCACCATGATGAAGGGGAAGTCGGACATGTTGAACGACAACGAGTGGCACGAGGTCAAGATCACTCGTGACGAGAACTTGAACCACCGGCTGACCATCGACGACTTGGCCGTGCAGAAGACGACCAAGGGTTCCAAGAACTTGGACCTGAAGGGAGAGATGTACGTGGGAGGGTATCCGGAGCAGAAGTACAAGGAACTGCCCCTGATGGTGGAGGCGCGGGCCAAGCAACTGGGCTATCAGGGCTGCCTGGCGTCCATCAACCTTGATGGGAAATATCCAGACCTACTGAAGGACAACAAGCGGCTGAGCGGATCCATAGTAGCTGGATGTGAAGGTAAGGATTTTGTACCTTGTGCTTGTTTTTTTTTTGCGTAACTGATAAACTTGCAGCATAACTCAAGATGCAAGGTACAAGGTGCATAAGACAAGACTGTAAACATTGATCCTCTCACACCAGGGAGGACCAAATTCTTCTTTTATCAGTGCAATGGAACCTTTATCATGCTTGTAGTGTATCTCTCCTCAAACACGGGATCTAAAGACAAGCTTTGTGTCCCATCCAAGAGGATGTAGTTCTTAATTCAAGGTAGTCATCTTAACCTGAATGGAGTGAAGAAATAGGTGTAAAGTGCCTTCCCCAAGGACACAATAGTGGGGCCAGCCAGGGATACGAACCTAGAAAATTCAGAAAATTCAAACAATCTGAACCACAAGACCACATCATCAGCTTCAAGATAATACCACACAAGTAATCAGAAGGGTCTGTTTTGTTTTGAAGCTGGTTTTAGTATAATAATTAGACATTGCAGTGAACAGTCTTATACTCCAGTGTAACCCACAGCTATGTACATGTACATGGCCGTTGGTTTCTGGTTGCAGAATAAATTGAGAGTATTCTCTTATGTGGTATATTGCATAGAAATGGCAAACTTAACTCATACCCTCCTACAACTTTTGGCACGATGGACAGCAAGCTTACTGAACAGGAAACTACAACCTAATTCATTGATTCCACCTGTAGGAGCAAGTATGTTCTTTGAGAACCTAAAATTGAACACATATCCCTGGGCATACAATGATAACTTTTACAAAAATAAGTTTGGGGAGTCAGCACAGCAACATCAAACAATTATCCCACAAAATTCTTAAGTGATAAAGTTCTCAAAATAGCACACAACTGCCAATAAAGTTGTATTACCGGCCTTATTTTCCATTTTGATACACTTTCAAACAAGGCAATTGGCTGTCAGATCCAACAAGTACATCTGAGTTCCAGGAATCTCCCAAGGGTACCATACCTACATAAGTACACATATATTACAGCGCATCCAAGTCTTTTTGATGGCCAATTTGACTGATACGTCTATTTATAGTGGCCCAGAACTGCCTTGGATTTGAAATATGTCAAAACTGACCTGCTCTTTACGACAGTCTGCCATATTTTTTCCTTTGTTGAGGTCAATCCTTACCATTATTCTTTGCATGTAACTATGCATGTAGTTAAGGTTTATGGTTATGACAGTATTTGGAAGACTTTTATGAAGAACAAATGAGTGAGGCAGTTCTTCTTATCACATTCATCATTATGCATCACCACTAGTTATTTTCTCTATTAAAAATATGGCCTATGACATATGATAGAATTATCATTTAAAGTTGATTCAACACTTCATGATTTGCCTTTTCTTTGGAAAGTCAGGTTACAAAATATTGGCTAAATATCATTTGGAATTGGTACATGAAGGCACCTTGAGATACATGGCAGAATCATATTGTAAGGGGCTGAACCCATTTGAACAGACATGGCACTAAAGCACCCTCTATCAGAAAGGTTGTGTACTACAGCTTGTCTCCTCAGACAATTGTTACCTTAAAGTGAGAGACACATAAGATGGTCATATTTGTTTTGCTTTGCTCTTCACAGTTGTTTTTATTGCAGAATACATTTATAATTATTTAGATTAATTTATGTACATTGTAATATATTAGTTCAATTTAGTCAGAATATTCTTGTGGCAGTTATGCACAGTTTTGGTAGAAGAAGATACCAAAATACTAGAGTTGGATAACATTATGATCAGTTTTTAAAGGATTGAATAATGATTTTTTTACTTGCTACACAATATTTTAATGATATAACACAACTGCACCACAATAGCTTAGATATGGAGTTTTAGATTTCACCACTCTTGGCCTTCTCAGACACAGTTGTTTATCAAAACAAACAAAGTTATTTGTTTTTTCTCTTTAATATCTTGAAACTGCAAGTCAAAATTACTGTCAAACAGAATCTTATTAGTATATAGCTGGTGATCACTTTTCCAGTGTGCTACTTTTTCATGACAGGGACCAGGTTTAACGTCTGGCACCACCTGCATTTCTAACTTGAATAGATAGGGGAGCTTTTGCTCCATGTATGGCGATCCCATCATATGAGATTCCAAGAGCATTAAAAGGATAGGGCACAAACTGCTGCTGTTGAACAGCACAAAACAAATCAGCTTTGTATCCATTATCCAAAAAATTACACAGCTGAAGTGCCCTGTCCTTGGTACTGAACACACCATTCACACAGCTTTAGGGACCTGTCCATGGTGCAGAACACACCATTCACACAGCTGTAGGGACCTGTCCATGGTGCAGAACACACCATTCACACAGCTGAATGGACCTGTCCTTGGTGCAGAACACACCATTCACACAGCTTTAGGGACCTGTCCATGGTGCTGAACACACCATTCACACAACTGAATGGACCTGATCACTGTAAACCAAGCAGCGTTCAAGATCAAAATAAATGACTGGGTAACAACACAAAAGGACAAAAACTCACCCCTTACTCTATGGTGGTAAGACCTTTTGAACTTCCTTGTAAACTAGTATTCGATTTAACTCCCTCTCTTATCATTATTTTCATATGTATTCAATGGCGAATTCTTTTCCTTTTGTACAGTCATTTATTGGTTTATTTCATTTCAGTTATTTATATTTTGTTATGTATGGACTACTTCATCTAAGGCCACACCAATTTAATTTGTTGGTTCTCGGATTTTTTCAGAAAAAATATGAAGCGACAGGGCGAAAAAAATAAAAATAAAAACAGGTCTAGGCATCCTATTATAGGCTTAAATGCTACAAAATGAGCCATGAAGTCAACACAAAAGGCTGGGTTAAAATTTAAACATTGAATTTTGAACTTTTAATCAAACCACTGCAATGATAGATGGGAAAACTGTAACAACTAGGAAGAAAAGGACTTTCCTCAACTGTTGGGGGGCAAAACATGAGCATTTTTCAGTTGATTTAGGACCAGAATCAAATTTTTTTTTTTTGCAAATCAGAAAAAAATGAAGAGGCGAATCCGAGAACCAACAAATCAAATTGGTGTGGCCTAAAGTTGTATATAATTTGTCTTTACTCTCCGAGTCCACATTTTGTTTACTTCATTGTTAATTTGATTTTCAAAGTGTTTGGTTGCATGTTATGTTTTCCAATCACTTTCAGTTATATCATTTTCTATTATTTTGACCTCTGACCTCCCATTCATTTCATTTTAAGTTCTATATGCTGAGTTTGGTTAATTATCCTCTGTTATCTCAGGATAAATCTTTGTTATGAATTTATTATTACTATTTTCCGTTATTTATGGTTTATCATAATTTATGTTTGATTGATTTATTATTGTTTTTACTATTTTTGTTTAGTTAGTTGGACTCCAGGAAGAGTAGTGTAAACTTTATGTATTACACTAAATGGAGATCGAAATAAAACAAACAAACAAACCTGTCCATGGTGCTGAACACACCATTCACACAACTGAATGGACCTGTCCTTGGTGTTAAACATACCATTCACACAGTTGAACAGACCTGTCCTTGGTGCTGAACACACCATTCACATAGTTGAACAGGCCTGTCCTTGGTGCTGAACACACCATTCACATAGTTAAACAGACCTGTCCTTGGTGCTGAACACACCATTCACATACTGTAAGTCTCTTTAGATTCGCGGGGCCTAAAGTTCGCGGTTTCGGAAAAATGGACAATCCGCGGTATTTTTAGATTCGCGATTTCTCTTTGGCTATTCAAAAAAGAATTTGTAAAATGCATTTTAAGAATAAGAAAAGTTCGTGTCCCAGCATTTATCTCCTAAAACGCGGCGCAAAAAATTGTTTCCTGCACCGCGCTAGGCTGCCTGCATGCTCTGTCGGTATGCTTCGGTATGCAAATGTTGCATCACATGTCCGCATTACGCGTCTCTGATTGGTTGTCGCGTCGTGCCGGCGGTAATACACATTCAAACTGAAGCGCGTGAAACAATTTTCTTCGTTTGGAAATATCGCTAAAGCGCTATTTTCCACAACTACACATCGACACTGTAGTGAAGAAATGCATAATGAAAAGAATCTTTCAGGAAAACATGTATTGCTATGCCAATTTATGGCGTATTCGGTAAGATTTTGGCGTTCGATGAATGCGGAAGTGTCCCAAGGTCGCCTTCTTGTAGCCACGTTACGCTAGCATTTCTACCCATCAAAACAAGAAAAAAAAGAGAACCAAGTAATATTTCCCAGGTACCAACAATTATAATTTATATTTTTCGCCAGAATATTTGTAGATATGCCCGATGTGCCCGCATTTTAGCGGTATGGCCGGCGCTCTACACGCAAAGATTTTTGTCGGGCGTTAACGTTACGTGGTTGACACGGCCAGTGCTATCGCTATTTGGTGTCTCATAATATTATTTTTTTTATAACAGTTTAACTTAGTAATAGTTTTGATACAGTACTCAACTACGTACATCTGCTAAGAATAAAGTCGATTTGCGGTGATTTGTGGATAGCGTGTTTCGCTTGAACTCGAAGTCCGTCGTGAATGCATGTGGGGAGGGGGGCACACTTACGCAAAACATATTCGCGGGGAAATAGATTCGCGGTACAAAGGTCCCCGCGAATTCCGCGAATCTAAATATACCGCGGAAATTTGTAGACTTACAGTAGTTGAACAGACCTGTCCTTGGTGCTGAACACACCATTCACACAGCATACCATGTAGGAGAGACACCTTCCTGTTAAAGTAAAAACTGCATGCAAGATAAACAAAATAAAGGGCCCTGTCCTTGGTTCATAACACACCATTCACACAGCTGAAGGAACATATACATACCAGATCCCCCATCCATAGTTTGTTTTTTCATGTGCATACCATGTAGGAAAGACACCTAACTGTTTTAGTCAAAACTGCATGCAAGTTAAATTATCCATTATGACTGTGCTAGTGAATCTTGGAAACAGTTGCTAGCTTATCTTATCAATGTACAGTTTTAAGAGCAAAGTGTAGTTATTAACCATGGAAATTCGAGTTCTTTGAACTAGCAGGACGTTTTCAACATTTTAACAAGGCATTCATGTGAAAGGTACAGTAATTACAATCAATGAAAATTGACTGTTTGCCCAAATTGTACCAGGCGCCATGTTTAAATCTTTGATATCTGTTTGCCTCAGATTAGAAGTTGATATACATTTTTTAAAGTCATTTACTTCTGTTGCCTATAACATGACAAACTTGTATTGCTATTTCTATGGACCCTTTCAAAACTAATAAGAACAAATAAGAAATGTAAATTTTAGTAAGTTTGATGTGGTACATGAAAGATTGGCCTCACATACAGTTTCCTTTAGGTTTCTGATAGCATATTTCAACACACTGATATCAATAGATCTAGAGTAAAGTATCTTGTTTGTATTTTCCCTTCTTAACCCCAGTATAAACTCACAAACTATGCAAGGAAGAAACAAAAATGGTTCAAACTGCAATGGATTGAAACATTCCAATGCAATTCTATGATACATCAAGCAATAAATGACAAAGTCAAGACTCCACAATTTTGATTGTTTCCATATCTTTAATAAAATCTTTATAATGGTAGATATACATGTACAGTAACCTTTTGAAGTTTTCAACTCCATCAATATTATCACTGTAACAATTCTTACTGTATTCAAGGTACTTGTACATGTACAGTGTACAATGTACTGATACTTGGTACACATTTTCCTTTGTGATGAAGAATGATTAACACTTGGAATACTGGGTACACAAGCAAATATAGTTACTATTTAAACCTTGTCAACATTTAGGTGTATAACAGTTCACTAGTTTCACTTTTTTCCATGCATGCATTACAATTTCAATGTTAAATACAAAAAGGAAAAAAATTACACTTAAGTTAGGTTAGCATAAGGTAGTCGGGATTTTCCAGCCTCCATGCATGTCACTGATCTGTTCCATTTGCAGGCTCCAGTTTGCTGAAAAAAAATTATGAAAGATTTTAAGAACGACATACTTACCTGTTGGTCAGTTGACCTGTATATGATGTTGTTGACTGACCAGTGGTGTCCTTGTTGTTCCAGACCTGACCAACTCGTGTGCAGGTGACCCCTGCAACGGTGGGAAGTGTAGCCAGCAGTGGAACAGGTATGAGTGTGACTGCGGGATGACAACGTACACCGGACCAACTTGCGAAAACGGTGAGTACAGAATCCTTTCAAATAGTAGCTTGTTTTTTGATTTGTACAAAGCCATAAACATGTGTTACTTCTAGTTAGAGCTTTCATGAGGTACTTGATCATGATTTGGCATTCAAGTTTAACCTTCCCAAGTGCAAGGGCTGATTTAGAGGTGGTCGCTATAAATCAGCCCATGACATTTGGAAGGTTGATATGTGGAAACACCTGCTCTCAGTTGTGGTAGAGCCACCTGTCTGTTTTTGGTCTAAACTGCAGGAGGTCAATGAGTGGCCCCTTCCATTATTTATCATGGCGACTCTTGGCTCCCTCAGGAATTATGCATGGCTACTTCCTCAATCCACTTTTCCGCCCAAAAACAGGTTTGCTGATCGTTCCCCACAGATAAAGTAAAACATGATGCATCTGCGCATATCTGCTGATGTTTTACTCTGAAAGGGCAGACTGTAGTTCCGCCCATAAAGGGGACTTGATTATATCTTTGTTTTCACTGTATTTGCACATATCTGCACCATCTTCCATCCGCAAC